TTCTTTTGCCAGATGTAGGGTAGTACAAGTTTCGGGATGGTCAAAGTTAAGTTGGCAGCGGGAAATAAAGTTACTGAGTGATGTTGACCCGTCTTTCCTGCCAGGCTAGAGTCCACGTGACTCGCCTTGTGCTTGAGTTGAGACTTTACAGGACATGGCTCGCAGTCAACATCGGTGGCTGCAATGTCGTAGTCTTCTAGTAGTACTGCTTGTTCAAAGTGTGTTTGATGCTGATTTAGCAGCGGGGTAATGGCTGATTATGACGCGGGGCAGTGAAAGCTGCAAGGAATCTGCTTCGCCGAAGCCATCTTATCTTTGCACGATACTAATCTGCTTGTGACGATATGTTGTTGACAAGTGTAGGCGCCTTGATCCTGTATTGTATTTATTTGTATTTAACACATGCCCAATAAAAATTTGGCAGAGTGCCACAACACATGAGTAACAATAACAAAAATGTGAGACTGAGTAAGAGGACTGGAAGCAAAGTTCCATGTGTTGTGTGGGCATTGAGCTTTCCGGTTGCGCAGGCCGAGGAAGAGGGTTGACTTAAGGGACCCCACCCGAGCCTTTGGTTTAAAGACCTGACCCGCAAGGCAGCGGGATGATTCACGAAAAGCGTTGACAGCCAAGTGGCTCATTCGCCTTCTGTCTGTTCGGAAGCAGTCCACAGAGAAGCCGGTGGCCGGCAAAGTTGTTCATCCGCCTTCCGTTAGAAACTCATGCCCAGTTACAGGAGTGAGTGGTCAGTGACCCTATAGCCGGTCACATTGGGTTTGACACAGCGCCGTACGAGAAATTGTGGTATTTAATGGAGAACCAGGTGACCAGCCTAGAACTTACCACGCTCTGTGATGCTGCCGCTGATGGTCCGCGACTGCTGCCTACAAAGCAAACGAGACTTATTCGCAGTTACCTCCACAAGGAAGGCATTCCCCGATCTGCAACCTGGGGACGCGCCTGATAGCGTACAGCTCCACCACGGACATTAAGATTTTACACTCAATCCCTATTCTCTTCCTCTTATTATTCCTCTTTTCGTTAGCCATCATGGTTGTATGGCAGTGAAGTGGCCATACTAATGGCTAGTGTATTACTGTACATTATGATGATGATGATGATGGTTAAGTAGTGGCATCAATTTCCACTAGCGTCATAAACGATCGGATACGGTTTGACGCGGAAGCTAGCACTGGACATCATATTTATGCGTGAGCGGAGGTCCACTTGGGGGTAAAAGTCATTAGTTTGCTTTACTTACCATTTATAGCCTAGCCCTACGGTATCGATTTGACTGTCCAAACAACAGGGATCCATTTTCCAGCCCGATTTGATGCTTACAATACATGATCCCTACCATGTGAACGTCTGGGTATGACGGAAGCCTACGCAAAAAGACTCTTAACTCAATGTTTATTGGGCCGTGATTTCTGTTGCTGAGAGGGCACATTTGCTTTTATGAAGATCAGCTTTGTCTGTGGTTTATGTTTTCCAAAACGGTTAATGAACGACATGTATGTTAACGGAGTGTAATCCGACGCTAAATCAAGAAGGAAGGCATTTCCCAGACTTGCTGGTCTCATTCTTTCGCTCTTGCATTGGATGTGGGTATGAGCATATGTAGCTGTGGGGGGGAGGCAGCAAAAGCCATGCATGATCCTCCAGTTGGCGCAGCCGTTCCCTAGTTGTTCTCAAATACATCAACATGTAAGACGAGAAACGGAAGTCGTCAACAGTATTGACAGCGCCATCACCTTCAAAACTGTTTAGTGTTTGGATTGCAATAATTTCCCGACCCGTACTGGTTGATCAGCCCCCTTCAACAGCAATCTTATAAATGTCCAACAGACGCTGACTGCTAAACTTTTCGAACCAGTGTGTGACATAGGAAAAGTAGCCATTGCGGTCTGCTGAGCAACCAAAATGGACAGTGTAGTCATAGAAAACACAAATCCCTCTTCTATTTGAGCCTTTAACCCTACCACAGATGCCAATTTGAGGATTTGAGATTAGAAAGCAGTGAAAGGAGGTAGTTTAAACAATTTCGAAGGGTAAGTTGTACCTATAGACTCTATAGGATGTCGACTGCAAGTCGGGAGAGCTATTAGGCGGTCGTTTCTACACTTCGGAACTCTTTCTTATTGCACACTGCTGGGTTTAGTTTGTGCTCTGTGTTACTGCGACATTAAACAAGTCACGGGAAGGTTCTAAGTTATGATCCAGCATGGGAGGTCTAAGCGCATGTTAAGGAGGAATGGTTTTTACTGCTAAGAGGAACTCGGCTCAAGCAACATGTCCAACTATGTCTTCAACCTCGAACGGCATCTCAATATTCACGAAGCAAGCAGAAACTGTAACCCATTGTTTACTGGCAATTCTTCTAGGGTCCCTGACCTAACGACCATAGATGTGTATCCTTAGGATGGCTCCGGCAAGAAAGCGAAAACACTCTGCAGTCGCAGATCAACCAAGCAGAGCATGTGATCAGGTCCATCGTCAACGATCTACTCACTGCAGCAAAGAACTGGTCTCCGGCATATATCAAAGGGGTAATCTACTGTGGTGATAGGACCAACTGGTAGGCCTAGTTTCATTTGTACCCTGGTGAGGTCACCAGAAAATGGAGAGAAAGGCTAGAAATGTGCACATGTTACAAGTTTTCAGAGCAGGTACTTCCGAAATGGCGAGGTAACATACTCTGGGTAATCTAATAAAGTGTGGTGTTGCATGTAAGCATTACATTACGGATAACCAAGTATGCATTGAAGAACTGCTGGACTACTACAACGCTGCACACAACAACATAGTGTGCACCGTAGAACCTGAAACTTCTAACTCCCTGTCATACATAGATGTCAAGATAACCGGCACATCGAATGGGACAGTACAGAGGAGAATGTAGAAGATGACAACTTGGAGCGGTCAGTATATCCACTTCGACAATTTCGCGCCAATAAGTCAGAAACGACGCCTCGTTTGTTGTCTATCGGAACGAGCGAGGAAGATATGCGCGCAGGACAAGCTGTCATGTGGGTTGAGGATCATTCGAAGTGTTATCGAGCAAAATGGTTACTC